TGTTTTATTTGCAACAGGTGGGTAGCAAACTTAAAGTGGGCGTTCAAAGGCATAACTTGCCAAATTAATCGAACCAGTTTGGAATTCGGCTTCGGTCGCTCTCGTCGGCGTCGCTGTAAGCCGTGGTGCCGTTCCGTCCACTGATGAACAGTACGAAACAGGACCGAAACGGGAAACGCGCGCACAGCCGCCGCCGGTGGGAGCTGGGAGACGAGAGAAAGTGCGTCATCTGCCGCCGTCGCGCCACCCGCCGCCGCGCCGGTCGAGCGTGACATGAGCGCCGTCATTGACGACACCTCGCCGAAACTGTCGCAGTGTCCACCAACCGGTTGGCGCGAAAGGAATCCATTGCAAAATGCAATGTAAGGTATCTACCAATGGTGATTGCTGATGCATCGATGTAGGAGCTGCATACATCAATAAGGATATTTTACTTCGAGATGTTTTCTTAATTCTTTCCATAGCGCGCTTACATAGTTTAGCGAAACTTTAGGTTAGGTTAGGTTATGTAAAGGGCAGATAAACTGAATCTGGAAACTGAACCGTTTTAATTTTCTGTTCGTGTCCCAGTTCATACAGAGCAAACAGCCTCATGCCAGCCCCGCCCCGAACCATACCACAATGTTACCACAAACGTCTGGAGCGTCATGAGTCTCATGAACAACCGCCACGTCTGGGGATAGATGTAGCCAGATAAGCAAACATTTTTCTGCGATGATAGTATAGCTGCAGCAAAGACTTTTCATTCAGTCGCTACTCTAAAATCGTCATAAGATCGTAATTCGATAATCGCTAGTCGTTGTTAATTCGTTATCAAGTTGAATTAGACGCATTAACCCGGCAGTTGCTGCTGGGGTATTTCGCCACCCACCGTTTGCTGGGGGGGGGGGGGGGGGCGTTAACCCTATTAGTGGCAGGCTCCTGGCTACCCCATATTAGTGGCAGGGGGGGGGGGCTGTTTACGACCCCCCCTTGATATCTCGAGATCTAACCGGCCGATTTTCAAAATTCAAACGGCATTCGATTTGGCTCAACGAGATCTACATTTCTAAAAAAAAATGTCAATAGGGGGGTAGGGGGGGGGGGTAAAAACGGGCAAATTGCAGATACATCTTAGACTGTTTATCACGGCCAGGTTTCTGAACCAATCTTAACGCAACTTTTGCCGATCGATAGAGAATGAACCAGGAATTCACATGGATCCTAAAAATATGCATTTTCAAAAATCATAGGCGGATACAGATCATTGAGATTGGGGGTACACAAAAAGTATAGTAAATAAGGTTTTTGTTGGTACTGTTTCTAAAAAGGGTGACAATGGTCTTGTTATGTTACAATTTTCTTATGAGAGAACGACTAAAATTGTATTGGTCATGCATAGGCGGTGTCAGGGCACCTATGTTGGGAGGTAAAAAATAACCCCCCTTTTTGGACGCCTGGATCCGCCTATTATAGCAAAAACGTGTCAAAAGAGGATGCACAATAACTTTGTATATGTTATCACATGATACCTTTCATTCACTGTTCGTAAAACTGGTGCAGCATCGTGATCTTCACCCAAATGACTCGCTTCACGAATAGGACCCCCCAATTCCCAGTGCTCTGGAGCCGCCCCTGGTAAAGTTATGAACTTGAAATTTTCAGGGAATGTGCCCAATTTAGTTTTAGGAAAAGTCAGAAAATTTCAGCATCGTAGCTTCAGCGGTTTCGGAGATATTCCCGAAAAACCTGAGGGGTGGATAAAAACAACCCCCCTGCCACTAATAGGGTTAAACGCCCCCAGCCGATAACTCGAGAACCAATAGGCGCAGCGAAACGCACGAGGCGGCAAACGAAAGAGCGCGACGAGACGCTTCAGATGAGTACTTTAAAGTTGAATTTTGAGGTCACAGGTCGGGTCAAGGTCAGGTCAAACATATGCAGGTGACATTCGGGGTTCAGTGCTGGTAGTTGGCAAATTCTCCCGATATGTCAATTCTCCGTATCAGTCACGTGCCACTGTTGTGCACTACCCCAGCGCGATCCCGTCCCGTTCGGTGGCTGCACCGCTCCTCAGTCGCCGGCAGATCGGTGAAACCGCGGCCTGGCGGTGGGTGGTGCCGGCCACCGTCGGCTCGTCACACAGCCGTCGGTATGTACAGCGCCGCAGTCACGTCATCTCCAATTACCGGCTCGGAGTCGTACGGGATGAAACGGACCCGACCGGCACAGAACTCTTAGCCTCGGCTGCACGGATAAAAAACCGGGTTGGACGTGCCGGACGGGTTGGACGTGCACGTCCCTCTCATACCCTCCGGACGGTCATGGACCACTCCATAGTGCTCACGATTCGCACTGCTTTTGATGCGAATAGCTTACGATCCTCTAGCTGAGGTCATATATAGCACACTCAAGCCGGGGTTGATCTTTTAATTCAAATTGTTCTCGCGTTTCGGGTTGCACAAGACTGCTCGGTAGCCACCGTCTCCGGTCTTAGTCGTATCCTAGCGTCCGAGCTGAGCTTGCATGATGTTACCTAGAATTACAAACCAATCTACACAAGCCCAACAGAATCGATTCGTTTTTCTATTAGATACCGCCTCCCCAGTTATGTCCATGCTGATTAATGGCTAGGTTTGATTTCACTAACAGCTGCGTGGTATGTGAAAAGAGCTTACGTCACATTCTAGACCACCACCCATGTTTCATGCCTGGGTACCGTTTTGGATCTGGAAAGCAAACTAAATCGCTGTCCTTATAATATTGAAGTAATGAGTTAGTTATTTTGCCTATATTCTGCGGACTACGGGCCGTGATATTTATCTAGCAGTTTCTGTGTTGACGAGAGTTCTCTTCGTCAGGTTTTCCACATCTGCCATCCGGACGGCCGCCAGGACTCGATGCTCTGTCCCCCGGGCACCATCTTCAACCAGAAGTACTTCATCTGCGACTGGTGGTACTCGGTCAACTGCGCCGAGTCTCCCAGCCTGTACGCACTCAACGAGATCCTCCACGGGCACACAGTCGCTGGAGCTCAGAGGCACTGAATGACGAAAGTCACCACAGGTGTCGCTAGCATCTGTGGCAGCCTTTTCTAGGTGTCGCCACCAGCTCAACAAAGACCGTGATACGGTGTTGTGACTTGTGACATGCCGCAAAACTGTCAAAAGTGCTGCGTATGGTCAACACACATTGCTCACGGAATATTGAGATCAGAGACTCTGAGAGACATTCGAGATGATGTGACAGGTTGGAGAGCACTGAGCTGTGATGGACTGTGGAGAAAGACAGGATTTGAGTGACGTCGTGTCGTCGGGTGTTCCGTCTGCTAAGTCGCCGTCCTACCTGTTGACATTGCCACGCTCAGCTCAGGGCAGGATGACGAGGACAGATTCGGCCAGGTTCGCTCCGACACCGACTCAGCAGTATGACGTCACGGAGGGCAGATGGCCGGGCAGGGAGCGTTGCGACACTGTCTAATTTGCCATCGTTGCGGGTGGAACGTAACGCCAGGAGACGGGTCGAGCGTAAGGCCCGGTGACGGGGCAAATGGTGAGGACGGGGATAGATGCAGCTGAGCAGGAGGTTCTGTTGCATCACTGGTGATAGGCTTATGATATTGCCGCCGATGTTATAATGAAACTTGAACAGGTGCAATGTTCAGCAGCCTAGATGGGACTGGCTGTAGCCTGCAGCGAATCCGACGAGTGAAGCTTTTCGTTCGATATGGGTGAATTGCCAAATGTGGCCGTTTTGAGGCGACAGGCGTTTAGCTGACTAGATGGATATCGGCCAGCCGAGTCTTTTAGGGGGTTACAAGCAGTTTCATTGATGCCAAACAGCTTAACTGAATGTAAAGGTGACGAAATGGGTTTATACTCTAATTGAGGGTAACACCGAGGATTTGTCTCAACTCAAACGTAAAAGTGTTTTTACGTCGGTGTCTGTTACATTCATCCAGGGTGTCAATACTAAGGTAGGTCTAACAATTAGTGCAATAGCGTGTGCTAGACTCAGGTTCGACAAAATAATTCATCTGTTATCTGTTACGTTACGTCGTCTATATTTTATCTAGGCTTCGTGCACCGCAAAGCTTAGTTAGCGTAACTGTTCTGGTGTAATTGTATTTTGAACTTTTGTGGGTGTTCGTAGTGCAATACAGCTGTGGGAATTTTGGAGACCGTGCTTTACAGATCGACAAATATTTATCAGTGCTATATAGAATTGGAACGATCTGTAATGAGCATAAGTCTGAAGCATTTAGTTTTTTCATCGATGCGAGACCACTTGTCGTATTCTGCTGACTTCACCTTACATCACCTGGGGCTGATGTTTGTTTTTGTATCACGACATGTGCCGGCCCAGCGGAAAAGCTGCATCCACGGAGCCGTACAAAAAATGACTGATAGCTATAAGCGCAGCAGTGAAGCAGTAGCGGCGGAACACCTTCAATTAAGGGGAGCACTGCCGACTTTTGGTCACATTCTTTCCATGCAACGCCCATAGGGCTAATGTTAAAATGTCAAAATCAAGGGGGGACGGTGCCCCGGTGCCCTCCCCGTTCCGCCGCCTATGCAGTGAAGTGAATGGTAAATCCCGAGGCGGGACGTAAAAACGTCCATTACAACGCCGTCTAAAAACAGTTTAAAGTAAGAATTTTGAAGAGCAAATGTTGCACACCTTCAAGGTAGACCGATAAATGGATTGCAAAAAGAAAAGAAAAAAGTGACCTGATTGCAATGAAAAAATGTAAATATAGGTAGGTACACAGATAATTCCGGTGGGCTCTAGTCAGTTCAATCAAGGTCACAGACTTACTTAAAATATTGTCAAACTGGATCGTACCGAAACTGCGATGAGCTCTACTCGAATCTCAAAAAGATTTTTATATAGATCCATTCCAACGATTGATCGATGCATAAAAATTGAACTATACTATACCCACACTCGTCTCTGACTCTATAAAGCCGGGAGCTTTATCACACACCGTTCTCTATCCCAGCCCTGCAGTTGGCAGCACCTGTCTGACAGCGCCTCGCGAGGAGCCGGCGGCACTTTTGACTGGCAGTGAAAACACGGTGCGGTGACGGCCGGCCGACCGGCCGGGCCGGCCCGGGCCTTGGCTCGTGCCCTCAGGCCCCTGCCGCCGCGCCGCGCGGCGGCCCGGGCGGCTCGCGGAGCGCGGCAGCTTCGGCAGTGGTCCGCGAGGGGTGGTGGTGTTCGAGCGAGGCGAGCGGCGGTCGAGCAGGTGCCGGGGAACTGAGTGTCTTACAGAACCGGCAGCAGACAGGAGCACCATGGCCAGAGGAGAGGGGTGAGTAGGTGCAACTTATCTATCTGGGAGACGCTCTGCCAATGCCAGGTGCTATTTGTATTTCAGGTGGCTACAAGGTACGACGCGGGCAGCGCTTGTGATACATACATACGTTTTCCGCGTTCGTGCTTAGCAATTACTCCTACCATTCGCCTCACGGTGACACAAAGGTGACTAGGAGGGTGGAAACGAGCAATACAGTGAATAAGAAACGTGTTGGGGGATTAATATAAATAGAGCATGCTTATAAAATAGATCATATGAATACGCTATGGCAGTAAACGCTAACAAAGGAGAAAGCTTTTGGGTTTCTCTGTTATGCCTATTCACTTCTGGATTTAAAACCGATAGTCGTAAAAATAAGAACTGGAACGTCATTTGTTACTCGTTACAGTGCCGGAAAATCATCATCATCTGAATTGTGTTTAGGTAGGTCGAGAGCTGTCGTCTATCATCAGTTGTTACTAAGGACTCGCAAGCGCTTTATTTACTATCAAAACACGTCTGAACGTCCCAGCCGTCACTCAGAGTTCAAGTTCCCCGAGTTTATTGTGTTTGCAATGTTGACCTATAGATACTTCAGTTGCACCCAGGAAAAATAGCTATTTAGAGTCGATAATGAGTACCTACGTACTGTTCAACTTGCGCCGGCTTTTATTCGAAACGTAATGTATTCGAAGCAGATTAGACGCTAACAGGCATGCAGCAAAAGTGAAAGCATCGGGCATGCGCAAAGGAAATCCGAGTTGAGCTTAGAGTAAAAGTAACTTAAAAGATTTGATAAATGTGCTTACTACTTCGGGCCTTGCATAGCATACAACTGAAACGTACCTAATAAATTTCCTTAACCCGCGCCGGGCCGGTGCTCTGAGATTCCGCGCCGGGCCGGGGGGGGGGGGGTGTCTGAATGCCCCTTTCTAACTCGGCTCCTGGGCCACGTAGCGACACATGGTAAGCGGCAATCGAAAGAACGTCCAAAATAAGGACGAAAACACTTCGGTCATTTTTCGGGTCAGGTCAAAGGTCAGGTCACCAGAGGTCACCAAAGGTAAAATGTTGACTATTTCAACATTTTGGAAACTGCCAACGGCTATCTCGGGAACCGATAGAGCTACAGCGCTGCGGAAAAGCGCATTCGATAGCCTTTTTACAGACATTTCTGAATAATGTTCTCAGATTTGACCTCAGGTCAACGATTTAGCCTCCAGAGGGCAAAAACTCCAAAAATAGCCGTTTTTACGAAATACGTTTTTTCGACAATTACTTTTGACTCAAAAGAGCCATGATATTACTTTTGCCAGCATCGTGTTCCTCTCGTCGAGACGCGTCGAATGAACTGTAATTTGACCTTGAAAGGTCAACTTGAAAATTTGACCTCAGATCAAGGTCATGACCTGACCGGAAAAGGTCATGTTGCATATCAGTCGATCTGCAGCGTCAAGCCGAACACATCTAAGGCGTTTTCAGCGCTCTAGACTTTTAGATTCCGTTCGTGACCTGAGATGACCTCGGGGACATAACGAGGGGTCACAGTTGCCATTTTACGGTTCAGTGTGTCAATTTTACCAACATCTCGATGTTTGAGATTGTTAGAATAGCGTTCGTTCAAAACAGACGCTTTCAATTTTCTGCCAGATTGAAAATCTGGGGGTATCTGCGGGTTAACGTAGATAATGTTGCTTTAATCAATCGCTGAAAGTTTCAAGGCAATCGATCAGTCGGTGTAGCTATGACGAGCATTCTTATTTTATTTTTTCTGAGGTGAGATCATTTGGCGTGACCTGGTGACCTGACCTAAGGCGACCTGGGCCTGAAATTTTCACAACATGTGCGGAAAAGATGCACGAACAGGTGTGCCAAAAACGGCGGCGCTCCGCGTCGCCGTTTTTTTAGATATCTGCGAAAAACCGCAGGGGTGTTCAAACACACCCCGGCCCGGCGCGGGTTAACCTTTTTTGACCTGACATTGACCTGACCTCCAGCACAAAGTGACTTAACCCTCGCCCATGTAGGGGGGGGGGTTGGTGCAACCCCCCCCCCCCCCCTGAGGCTTTTCGGAAATAGTGCAAAAACGGCGGCGCGCAGCGCCGCCAAATTTTGGGTACCTTATGGGGCAAACCTTGCGCATCTTTTAATAAAAAAATTTGACCGGGTCATGTCAGGTCACGGAGTTATGACGTCACAAAGGGAACAGCCTCCGGCCGGATTTTCACAAACTGAGTGCCAACGCCCGAGGTTTCCTGCCGATGGTACGGACATCGGTTGATGGATCGTGATGAAACTTCCCATGCATGTTGGGGCAAGTATTGTCTATCATATGGTATAAGAAACTTGACCGGGTCAGGTCAGGTCACGGAGCTATGACGTCACAAGAGGAACAGCGTCCGGTACTATTTTTGAAAAGCGCCCGAACCACTATTTTGCTAATTCTTGTCACCTCAATGGGAATATGCAGCAATATTAGCTTATATAGGGAGCAAATGGACCTCCCAAATCCAAAAATACAATCAGATTTCAAAAATTTAAATTTTGATTTTTCGAATTTCTGCCGCCGACTGTGACCTTGCCGACTTCCGGCGCTCCCAACGCGCCATTTTTAGAGCTAGGGAAACGAAATACATACCAAACGATAGAGAATTGATCAAGAAACACGATAGTGAAGGTTTCAAGTCGATATCTCCTACCGTTTTGCCGCAATCGCCGCCGAAAGTTGAAAAAAGTCTATTTTTCCGAAAATTTGACCTTTGACCGGTCAAAAGTAGGTCAAATGTTGACCTAGGACCAAAAAATATACCACCAATCGCGAGATCTCGGCGAGAGCAATCCGTTGGTCTTTTCCGCTAAGCTCTACGACGCTCCGTTTTCAAACGCACCAACGTCAACGGTCGCACCAACCCCCTCCCCCCCCTGCATGGGCGAAGGTGGCAGATCGCCGTTTACGGGCGAGGGTTAAACCGTTCCTGATGGTCTTATAACCAACACCATTGAGTTAGGAATGGAAATTAGCCATAAAACATGCATCGCACAGCCCTAGCAAAGTTGGGTTCATGTGCTGACCCTTGGTGACCTGACCTGTGACCTGGCCTGGTATTATCAGTGGCCTCTAATAGCAGCATATGAACTAGGCAACTGACGCCCTATCGCTGATTTTCGTTAAAGTGCGTTTTACTCGTTGTTATAGCGCATTCCCTGGAAGCCCCGTGAACGGTAAAACATGTTATCTTTGACCTGACCTGTGACGTCATTTGTGACTCCGAGGTCAATGAAATTGGATTTTCCTCAACAAACTTGACAGGGCTAGCGAACGCCGTTTGAACTTTGCGCATCCGTCCAGTAGTTTCTGAGATACGTGGGGGAGGGGCAAAAAATAGCCCACCCCCAGGCCGTGAAATAAACAGACCCCACCAGGGCGCGGGTTAAGGCCAAGGCCAGGTTATCCCAAGTCACGGGTCGGAAATCTTATACCATGCATCGGTCACGTGACACATGATGGTCCATTTAGTTAGACCATAGATTTCGAAATCAGTGTCGTTTGTGTCATTCGAGGTCATTTTCAGCTGAATATAGCTGATGTCAGGTCACTTTCAGTTAAAAAGGTCACATTTAAGAGTTGACAATTTTCAACAAAGAGGGTGTCTATCGGATGTAATTTAAGCTGCGTAACACAATGGTGCTATTTATATTCATGCATAACGTAAAAACGTACTTAAAAATTGACTTCAAATCTTTATTATGGAAGAATTTTGACTATATGTCGCGTATAACTTAGCTATTTTTGACGATTTCGGGCTAGAACTTTCCAGAGTATATCATCGGTATGTGTCCTATCACAAATATTCCGTTTTTTAAGTCAAAAAGTTGCAGAAAAAGCAAAAAATAAATTTTGAGATTTATTTTATATTTATGTTAAAATTGTCAGCATTTTGAAAATCTGAGATCGCAATTCGATAGCCCTGTGTATTCTGAGTCATCTCATGCAAGGAAGTTGGATCTAGCTTAAAAACTGAGCTCTTGAGAGCGATTGCCGTAGCTCAATGTTTTGCATTAAAATCTGACGAACATGACGTCACTCTAACGTCATTTCTGGCCGACCTATGGCAGCTACGAAGTTTTATTTTGACATAAGATGTCATTTTGATGCAGTCGAATGTGCTGAATGTTTCGCGTCGATACGCCAAGTGGCTTCGAAGTTATCGCAGAAAAACGAGAGGGGGGGGGTTATAAATAGCCCCCCCAGTGAGCCGCGGGTTAATTGCACGTAAATATTATACTGTTGCAAGAGAGGGACTGGGCGGTTATCCCCCAAGGTGACTCACTGCATTGAACTGAACCGAACCCGCGGTCAACAGTGACCTGCGGTCCAACGTATGTGATGGCCCGAGAGACACAGACTGGTGAAGCAGTGATGGCCCACTAAGGTGTGAGGCATTTGGGTATGAAGCGCTTTAGGGTGCACACTGCACAGAAACATACCCATTACCCACAGTCACATCTAGGCTTGCGAAATACTTGAGCAATATTGAATATCTTAATGAGCCTTGCTGATAATTATATTCAGTAGAGGTGTTGTAAACTTGCTAGCAGCACTCATCGCTTGAGATCAGTGACGGTCGCAGGGGGGGGGGGGCCATCAGGGCCATGGCCCCCCCCCCCCCCCAAAGGCAAATCATGGGGGGGGGGGCCATCATATCATTTGGAACCCCCAAACAACCGATGGGCCCCCATGGCCGTATGGGGCCATGGCCCGTATTCGATTGTCACGAGGCTCGAGAAACCCACGCCAGCTATTAACAGCTCCCATACCAGTCTTTGAGGGTCTTGACTTACACTGACGTCGGAGGGCCCTTCAGTGGCGGTCAAGCGTCCACATTGACCGCTGAGGACCCAAATTGACCTCTGAGGGCCCTCCACTGGCCTTTGAGGGCCCCTAAACCGGTCTCAGGGGCCCCACCGGCGTCTGAGAGCCTCATTCCGGCCTCTGATGGCCTCATTTCTGTCTC